CTCGAGAAGACCGTCCAGAATGTTGAACAGGTTTGCAAGTACTTCCGCATGGATCCATCCAAGGCAAAACAGATCACCGACCTCATCCCCTGGCGAATCGAGAGAATGAGCAGATTGTTTTCCGGGTGTCTTCGACATGATCCAGGGCATGTCCACAAGGAACGCAAACGACAAGTGGACATGGGTCCTGATGGGTCCGTTGAGCTCTACGATGCATTGTCCTGCATTACACATGCCAGGAACTTCATTGGAAACAAGCCAGGACTTCTCTTGATGGCTATGTTCCCGAACTATGGAAAGTCACGTTTCGAGATTGCGTTCGTGTATCCATCCGTGGACGGGTCACACAATGAGCGCAAGGCAAGGGGAGAAACGACAAACTCACTACGAGATCCGCATACGACGCACTCCGGCCTAATGGCAAGGAATTCCTCAATGATCCCAACATGGAGCAACAGCGGTCATACACGACAAGTCGGTCACCAATCTTTTGGACGACCCCTACTCCGAGCAGCAGAGTGAGCCTCGCCAAGAAGAACCGGACTATGACCTTCCAACGGAATCCATTCCTCCAAGTCCCATGTGCCAGCAGGAAGAGATGCACTGTTGATCCTTGCATTCCTCAAGGACCAGGACTATGGCACCCGACTCTCAGAAGAGCGAACAGCGCTGACAGAACAAACCATCGAGGCGAAGAATATTGTTGCAGCATATGAACCTGACGGTACCTCCGTGATGAGCAACAACTGGATCATGAAGAAGCTTCTCAGTCGTGAAGATGTTGAGATGTGCGACACCAAGATCCGTGAATTCGCCGATGCTTTCTTGAGCCATGTAAATTCCGATAAGTACAGCAAAGGAAAAGATACTTCCTCAGAGACCAAGAAACGACGGCACTCCACCGATCAAGACGAAGTTGAAGAGGAGAACATGGAACCCTCCGAGGAGAGATCCGTCAAACCAAAGGTCACCATGGAGTATCGCAATTCCGAGAACTTAGACGAGTTCATCCGGGAACTCAAGGAACCTCGAAATAGAAATGAGCAAGAAGGACGCCGAGGAAGAGCTCACGGAAACCAAAAGGAACTTCCTCCGCTTCATGGAGAAGTACAACAAGGGTCCAAGGAGAGCTCATCCTAAATTGACAGAGTGCGAGAGAGCCTCATTGGCACATGTCGATCCCGATGGAAATCTAGGAGAAGAAGAATTTTACTTCCGCCATCGAGGAGAATGTCCCACCGTGGACGAGTACAGAAATGCACAGCCAACATCCGGATATCCTATTAAGCTTCCGCTGGGATTGAAGAAGCTTAGGTCACATGACGACCCGGAAACCATCCGAGCATTTGCCGATACCCTAGGATTGCTGACGCAGCCGACCGACCGTCCCCCTGTGGACCATCTCAAAGCGCATGAGTACACCTCATCCCTGACGATCGACATGCTTACCATGAAGCATGGAAACCTCACGAGGAACCCAAAGCTAGATGGCAGGGAGGTGCACAACACGGCGATGAAGGATCGACCAATCGTGAAGATGATGATGCAGAACAGCGCAAACATCTTATGCCTCAATGAAGCAGACGCATTCCTCAGTCCTCAAGATCATAAATCCAGAGAACTCATCAAGACGTTCATCCGATTCGGGTACAAGGGCATCGTTATCAAGCAATGGTCATCCAGACCAATTGCATGCTTTGTCCGCGGCGGACCTTCCGCAAGAGTGGAACTATTGGCAAGACACATTTCCACCAAGAGTCAGAATTGGGGAACCACATTCGGGATGTTCAGATGTTTCTTCGGAACCGAGGAAAATTGCACTGATCCTGAATACGACACTCCGACCTCGGACTGTTTGGCAACTAGGGGGCCATCCATGTTTACTGAGTCCAAGAAGTACATCGGACCGAGATTGCCAACACGCATCACTGTCCAAGGACACGGACGTAACAAAGAGATTGTCGTTCTCCACATCGAGCAGAGTGATGAGTATCGTGGTATGCTTCCAAAATCATCCAACAAATCACTCCTCGAGTTTGACAGCCGCCACGTAACGAGGGCAGACCTTCCGTTTGCTACCATTGGAGTTTTCCACATTCATGCATCCCTCCGCATCAGCCATGGAGCAGCAAGGGAAGATTTTCAGAACGAAACCCTGCCACTCGTGACATTGTACCAATGTGACGCGATCACTGGAGAAGCCAACAAATCCGCGAATACCTACAGCAGACTCCAGCACGTCTTCAATCCAGCCAATGGTCTCATGAATATCCTCATGAAGGCGTATCAGAGATTGTGGAATGAGACGGAGAATCTTCCACTCGACAGAATGGAGTATGCAATGGAGACTTCATGCACCATCAAATCCATTGTTCGTCATCACTTATACATGAAGACTGGATCAGGGTATGACCGAACATTCCCAGATGTGATGATGACATTCGCGTTTGGATGGGGCAAAACGAATATCCAGCAGGTTTTCCGGAAGGAAGACATGAACGCCAAGAGCGATGAACAACTGGAAGCCATGCGGAATGATCCAACGTCTGCCATCTTCGACTATCAGGTCTCATCCGCGGAACGCTTCAAGCATGTGAACAACGATATGTTCATGAATGGCTCGCAAGATTCCGACTCGCGCAGTCCGCTGATAGTATATATCCGCAGCAGATCTGCCGCCAGGCAACGCAACTTTGAGAGATCCAAGGAGCACCTCAAGAAGAAGCAATCCTGGACTCAGCAAGAATACAGAGATTACAACAAGCAGTACTGGGGCAATCCAAAGCAATGGAAGGACTATGACGACTCGACCTGGAATGATTATGGAGACTATGGCAGTCAATCCGACAGCAGCCGTCGGTGGTACCGCTGATCACCTGATGAAGCAGCCACCTTTGGCACTCATTCGACTGACCGAGAAGACTCGCACGATCAGCACTACGAACTTCAACCAGATTGATCCTCACCGCCAACAAGACTATTCAGTGAGAGATCAATAGTTTCACATTCATCCCGCATGTACATAGCGTTGTGCATCACTTGTCGATACATCTAGGTATCTCACAGACTCAGCACAGACTGTTTTCCATCTTGCTCACATGACAAATCATCCGCGCAAAAATTGGATGAATCATTGTAACAATATATGGCTACGGCCGACACTTTCAAGTATGGCTACGGCACGTAGTAAGGCCATGAAGCCAATGGTATTTCATATCTAGTGCTGGAGATCAAAAGATATTTGTGTCAGTTTTTGCGTTTGATTTGTTACACCATTGATCTCCCGCAACCATTTGGCTCAAGGCCCTCTTGTAAATAGCGTGTTGCACTCATGCGATAGCAGTGCAAAGGCTTGCAGAGACCGCTTACAGGAATAACAGTCAATACAAGCCATGAGGGACAATCCATCCTCCAATCCTCCATACTGGCATATTGGACTCTCTCCGGAATAGATCCAGAAACCAAATCAACGACCTCTACTACCACAGGGTACCAGTTCCCTTCTGGGATAGGCACCTGAGGCAGTGGGCCTCAGGATGTGGGTGGATTTGGACCACTTGGGGCCCAAAAACCGATATCAGACTTTGGATGGTTCATATGGGGTCACGCATGTGTCTTTCGGGGCCCGAAAACTGCCCCCAAATCATAAACAGGGGTTGATTCATACGGGATCAACATTAGGTTCATCGGTTCATCTGCAAGCCTGTGCCAGTCGTGCCCCCCCCACTACTGAACCCTCACACTACTGAACCCTCATGCCACATATGGCAGTTGATCAATTTTCCTGTTTCCGGAAAACGCCATGTTCGCGAGAAAAAAAGTTTCTTTCGCAAATCTTTCGCGACTCCATCGCCACGCCCTTTTGTTTGCAGCGTGCGCTCTGGAGCCATTGTGGCTGCTGCAGTTGAAGTTATGCCTGCAAACACGGTAGCCGCAGTTCACTTGCGTGCAGTACGTAGTGTTGGGTGCAAACAGTCACCGTCATTCGCCCTTGCCGCTTGCGCTTGCCGGCGATGCGCGGAACCTTGCAACAAGCTCCCTGGCCTTTCGCCGGTCTTTCGCGGATCTTTCGCGAAACTTGCTCCAAAATAGCCCAGCCAACGTTATTGATTTGCACCATTCCCAACACAGGCAGGGAATCAATAATGCAAGTGTAGGTGCTGCGTATCTCCCTATCTACAAGGGAGCGAGGTCTGCAAATATGTAAATGCACAGGCATGCCTCCAAGAATCCAACGCGGAATCTGTCGCGAATAAATAAGTTTCTTTCGCGAACTCCATCGCCGATCTTTCGCGGAGGGATTTAAGCCAAGACTGACGAATGGTCACCGAATACATAACTCCTTGCAAGGACCTTTTGATCAACCGAGACGAATTCTGGCAAGGAGAATTGCCTTCACCAATCCCCGTGCTTTGAGCAAGTGGCTTTGCCACCAGTCTCCTCTCGTAGTTCCCACGTGCCATGCCGGAAAAGTCAACAAACACCGTCTGGTGTGGGGAACCAGACAGAGGGAAAGGCAACTGGGTGCCACTGAATTGATAGATCTCTCACGTCCCTGGCTCTAGCCCTCAACAATTCTCTTGAAGTGACAAAAAGCTCATCAGGACACTTGTTCGAACTGGACATTTCAAGCATGACATGGGTACGTCTGTTTTGGGGGTGCCCATTGTTTGTGGCTTTAAGTGGAAACCAAAAGGAACACCATCTCTCTTTTTGTTTTTTTGGGGGGTCCCCTAAAAAAGACAGACCCACATATCAACAAAGGACACTGTGCACACTGTATGTCTTGTCAGGAATCCTGTCCAACTCATCTGAGTCACAATCCAAGCGTGGTACCCGAGGGGCCTACCTTTCCCTAACTACCCGAAAGGGGTAGAATCTGTCTTGACCCCCGGTTTCGATTTTTGGCAACCCCAAAGCAGACCTGATTGGGGTTTTTTGAAGTCCCAGATTTTCCCGCAAACGCGGCAGAGGTCGCGGGGGGTTGGGTCAGAAGGCTCCTTGAAGACCAGCACCAGGCGAAAGAGGCCCTCCTCGTAGGGCGTGCCCTCCGGGCCAGCGACCAGGGCCTGCCAATACCTCGCAACTGGACCCTCACGTGGCGTGGTGAGGCGCACTTGCACCAGAGAGGCACGGCCCCCCCTCTGGCTGTGGGTCGTCGGCTCTTCGTGAGTCCCTGGTTGCCTTACGGCAAGTGCGGAAAAAACCTTCGGAAAAACCATGAGAGGCCGTCGACTCCAACTGCTTGCAAGCGACAGGGAACTGGGACTCTCTTTTGCAGAAAGTATGGCGATGCCCAGCGCAAGCAGCTCAGCGCAACTCGCGACTGAGCGATCTGCATTGAAGACCACCGTTCCCAACATGTCCCACCCCACTTGTGTGTCACACCTCGACCTTCTTTCTTGCAGCAAAACCAACATGCTCTCTGGGCAGACCGGAAGCTCGGACACCCCGACAGGGCTTTTCCACCCCGAAAGCCTTAAAAAGCCCCAGGAGAAAAGTGGGGCCCGGCAAAATGGAACCACAAATGGGTGTGTCTTTCTGGAGGGCACCGGCTTGGGCTTGGTGCAGGAAACTCAGCGGGAAACTGTTTGAGGGGATCCCCCACTTAGAGAAACAAATGGAACTCCAGTCGTCACGCGGTCCAACGCCATGGGGCAGGAAGGGGTGGCTGACGTAGCTGGCTGTGTCATCGCACCAGCACCCGGCTGGCGGGTCCTCCGCGAGCTCGAGCAGCTCCTGTCCAGGACCAATAGACTTGACGAAACAACCTCTGGAGGCCCCATCAACATCATTTTAGCCCCGGGGAGCGCCTGTGGCTGCGTTGTGACCAGTGGATGTTGGAGGACATATTCGTCGTGAAGCGGGTTCGTGTCCAAGAGGTAGTTAGTTGTTGCTGTTTTTTTTCTTTCTGATTTATAGTTTATTATGGCGAGTTTTCAGCAGCGCAAGTCCTCTACAAATCTAAAATGGTTTTTGGCAAAGGCATGGCTTTGGCGGTGCCGTGCAGTGGTGTGCAACAGATCGTCCGTCCGACAATACAAATAAACCAGCGGCTCCTCAACTATGAATAATGGATTGCGCTGGTGGCAAATAGAATAGAAAACACAATTCTGAGAGCGTAAAGCCAAACGGAAACATCCCAACTGCGTCAAGCTACCTACCAAAGAACAGTTCGTTCCATGCGACTTCAACACACAATGACCTGCTTGTTGCTTGTCAAACCCGCTTCTGGGGTTAGCTGTGTTCCTCAGCACAATTCCTCCGCAGATTCAAACGCTTTTGAGACATCGTGTCTCCTTCCGCAGCCTGGCAAAAGCCCCGTGCTCCATGTCAGGGAAGCAGGCAAGAGCAGCTGAAGCCCAAGCTGCGGCTGTCACAAGGGTGAAGTGCGTTCGCAGCAAAACTCAGCTTGTCAGCCACGGACATTGCCATCCCCTTGCACAACAACACTGGTGCGTTGACATCTCTGCGCCCGAACCTTCCCACACACGTCATAGAGCAACTTGATATCATCTTTGATCTGCTGCCTGGAAGCCGGAGGGCTTCCACCGCCCTGGGCGTCGCTCGCATCCAACTCGACTCATGCGCAGCTTGCGAAGCCAGTGGCGCCTATGCCCGAGGACGAAGCCGCCGACGTGCCCGAGATTGGTTTTGCCTGGCGCAGGCTTAGGGGACGTGCCTGATATGGGTGCGAAGTTCTATGTGGGAACTGGTGAGCCATGAATTCTGTGGGGATTTCGTATGTCCAGCAACCATTCGGGAGGGTATCCATGCAACTGGCATCCACCTGCTGCAGCAAGGCCGCGCTACGTCTTCGTTTGTGCACGATCAGCCTCGCTCTCCGTCCCATTGGAATAGCCTAGATTGATACAAACAAAAGCATCGAACACACATGCGAGGCCGCAGCAAAATCCGGCAAATGCCCTGAAGCAAACTCCATCAAGGGCTGGAACTTTTATTCGTAATAATACAGGTTCGGCGCAAGGGAAAGGGGCGCGTGTGCACACCACTCACTTATAAGGCCCGCAAGTGGAGTTTACCCTGTTGTTACCCAGGTGGGTAGCCACTTTCTGACTTGCCCGAGCATCCAAGTAAATGACACCATCGCTATATGGCCGAGTTTGTTGATTTGCTGAAAGAACTAGTTTTGAGGCTCAGGCTATGAAAGCTGCCAAGACCCATTTGAACACACATTGAACCGAAAACTTTCAGCTGCATCACCCGGCTCCCAAACGCCAAGCTCCGGACCCTCAATGGCGAGTGGCTGAACCGGCGAACAGACTTGCTAGAGTTCTGCAAAAGATTGCAACAGCAAGCTTGCCTCATGGCTCAAGAACTTCCCCAGGAACCCTTTTTTTGGCAAATACCAATCTTGAGGTCATCTTGTCTGATTAAGCAAACTGGAGCCGAAGGACAGTTGATTTGCCCAAAGCTATTCTGAATCACTGCCTGAGAATGCATTCATGTGCGTTCATGCAAGCAGCATGCGCCCAATGCAGTTAACATTTCAAAGCTTGAACGGCAGTCGAGAGGCACGCCTCATGTGAGACAGGCTGTGACATCCAGGTCTAAGAACCGAATCTTACCGCCTGGGGCCGCCTGGTGGGCTGCCGGATTTCAACAGGCAGCCTCCCAGAGACCTGTAGGATGGATGTCTCACCTCTCTTGGATCTGCCGAGAGATGGGGTGAAACTCACTGGGCCTCATTGTAGATTGGCCTGCTGCCAGATGGCTGTGGTTGGCAAAAATCGGCATCCAAACTACCCATTTACCCAAGACCAAAACCTGCGGTCCCGTGGCTTCATTTTGAATCCATGCCACGGACCTTCGCTTGCCAACAGGCGCCTGTGCAGGTCTTCTCTATCTCGATGAGCTGGCGGCAGTAACCGCTGTTTGGTCGGGCCACCTGGTCTTCAAAGCGGCGCTGACGCGCCGTCAGCGCCGTCGACTCGCCGAGCGCCGCGCCGGCCGCTTGGAGTACACCAAACGCCAGGCATCGCGCAATCGATAACCTATGGACAGAAAGCGCCATGTTCTGCTATGCTCAACTGGCTGTCAAAATTAATCTGCCTGATCGCAGGTGTTAGGCCATGCTTTCACTTACCAGGGTTCCATTTTGGGTACCTATTTTGACCCACAGTCAACTAGTCTCAGCCGCTCACGGTGCCGAAGCACCAGGTATGCCAGGACAATAGCCACCTGAGCATACATTACATCAAATGCCGCACACGTCACTAGCATTCCGGTGCAAAGTCCTACTCTCCCACCAATGAACGTGGAACCTAACAGAGGGTCACTTCAAAAGGAAAATTGCGCCCCCCCGAAACGTCAGGTTCCATGCGAATTGGTCGCAGCTGTCGCAGTCTTGGTCGCCCCACCGAGCGGCTGGCACCTTTTCGACAATGCACAAGGCAACGGCCCTGTTCTTGCTGCACCTGCACATGGGCGTGTCTCAAAAAAAGGAATCGGAACCCCAATTTCCTTCAGAGGTCCGGGCGGCTGATGAGTGTTCAAAAAACACAGAAAGTTGACAGAAAGGGTAGGTGTCCTTTTGGCTTTCAACTTTAAAGCCAGACCCAAATAGGGTACCGAGCCTCAACAAAAACAGACCCCACGTGCGCCAAATCCTGCTCACTTCTCACTTTGTGGGAGCTTCTCCAGTATCTACCGCCTCATCCAGAAACCTAAAGGCTGTCGAGAGCTGCGTTGAAAGACTCTCGTCCCGGCTGTCCTGCAACGATGTGCATGGCACATTAGGTTTCATCAATGTTCCCTGAAAGGTCCCCAGTTCAGACCATGGGTAACTTCTCCTAAATAGTGGGAGCTATCATCTTTTACTGGCTTTCCAATATGGCCATGGGTCAAAACCCCATCCCCACTAAAATCCCGACTAAAATGGGTGGTGCACGTAACCAAAATGGGATCCCATTCGTTTTGCACCACGGCCATATTTCGGAGCCTTTGATCAACCCCATCGACCTGACGGGGTCCCAAGGCAGACAAAGCGCACAACAAGGGCACTCCTTCAAATGCAGCCGCTGGTTTTTGGTGCGATTGCTGCAGAACGGAAGACGCCTGGGTCCAAACTGCTACAGTACTAAACGCGAGTTCCATCACCACTCGTACCTATGCGAAAGCAACATGGAATGTCCAATTATTGCTGCCAGTGATCCGAGTGATACAGTAGTCAAAGTCAAGCAATGGCATCTGCACTGAGCAAAGTGCTCACAACAGTTCAGGACGTGCGTGATGCGGTTCCTGACAGCTTCCCCAATAACCCTGCGCAACTCTCTGCACAGCTCCTTGGTTTAGACGCAACTTGTGTTTTGTCTGACCTGTTCAGAGTGCAAACAAATGTTCAAAGAAGGATGCAGCCTTTGTTAGCGTCGCCTCTGACCAGCTGAGGAATAGCTCTAGGCCATGTTGCGGTCCTAGTGGCTGGACGAAATCCTCCACCTTGAAACCATGGTTGAAACCGTTGAACTTGTTGGTCTTTACAGCAGAATCGAATCAGAAACGCCCCGGGTTTCTTATATAGGTGGTAAACGTCAGGTGAGAGGATTTCGTCCATCAGTATGGCCATCTATGGCCATCTGTGGCCCCGAGGCCCCCGAGGCCCCCGAGGCCCCAGCTGAATTAGCTCGATGCGATTCGCGGCAGCGCGCTCTCCGCCGATGAAGAGCCTCACGGCATCAATGTCTCCCGCGATGCGGGAGGCATCTCACCCTGTGGTGGTCAAAAATGGGTACCCAACATAGAAGCCTGGCAAATGGAACCCAAGGACTCAAATCTGCGGTCCATATTTCCTGGTGGTTTAATTTTCACCCACACACATTCCCAGAAGACAATGGCTGCGTGAAGCCTACGAATCCTTTGCATACCCAAAAATAACTTTCACAATGGTGACGCCCAGTGGTTGCCGCACGGCTTTCTGGAAGATAGCTCGAGCAAGTGAACTTGCGCTCGGGTACACGCATGCCTTAGACTTGGTTGACGGTGGACGGGAAGCAAAAACTAAGTTTCAGCAGTTAAGTGGGGATTTCAACCACTAAACCACAATAGGCAAATATGGGTCAAAATTCAACCACTCGGGGTTCTAGTCCATATTTCCATTTACCGATCAGGTTCCATTCTGGGGTTACCCGATTCTTGACTCTGTCAACTAGTTTGAGCAGTTCAGTGGGGATTTCCCAACAAACCACAATAAGCAAAAATGTAAAATGTTTCCCAAGAACAACCATGTAGAGTGAGTACCACGACTCACTCCGCAGCTCTCCGCCCTCCGACTTGGCCGCCCGGCCACTCCAGAACTTGGGACGCGTCCGGCTCGGGTTGGACCTCGCGCCTTGGAAAAAGCTCTCGAACCGGAGACTGCAAGCCAGAATGTCGACCCCGGATTTTCAGAAACCGTTGCATAACCTTGGGGTGCTTCTCCCTGGTTTGGGGAATCAGGTCACTGTTGGAGGGGAACACCCCCTTTTCTAACAAACAGGGGTTTGTTAATCCGGGGTCAACGTTGCACAGAATCTTCAAAGCTGCTCTCAGTGCTCTTGCCATGATGGAAAAGGACTGTAGAATGTTCTTGGGATAGTCTGGATCTGCAGCTAAAGCAAGCGCATGCGCCCCGCCTCCGAGCCGAGCGCCGGCCCACCAAGCCTCCGCGCCGCGTCGCGCGACCGAGCTCCGGCCTCCAAAAAGCCGCCCGCGCCTTCCCAAAAGATGGCTGCGACCGCCTCGGGCGCCAAGGAGAGAACTCAAGAAGGCCGAAGGTATCAGGTCCAGATGCTGTGGTGTCGGTTGCCAAAACAGGCACTGAAGGTCAGGGCCTTTTGGGGACTCGACAACTGCAAATCAGATCTGCTAGGCGCTCTGCAAGCCCGGCCAGCAGCAGCACCTTTGTATTGCCACTGGCCTAGGCTTGACGACACCAGATTGCCTGAGCCCACCAACTAGACAGTGCCATGGAATCCATTACTGCAGTCTACGTGCCCGGCCAGCGTGTGAACCAGTGAAGAAGCGCCACCTGACATGCGCAAGAAGGACCAGTAGATACATCAAATCATCTTCAGCCCCCTGAAGCAGTACATCAAATCGATCCTCAACTCCCTGGATCACCCCCTAAAGCCCTTCCCTCTGTCCCTTCCGTCCCACCGACGGCCCTTCCTCTCAGAGTCTCAGAGTCTCAGGGTCTCAGAGCGCCCGGCGGGAGGCCGCACGGGCCCGGGAGAAAAGGCGACGCAGCAGCTCCATGCGTTTTTTGTACAAAGCGAGGAACATCCATTGAAACCCTTCCAATGTTTGAGCCGCGCGGCCCGGGGCCCACAACACAGGTCGTACACATAGGCGTCCTTGGGAAATAGATGGGTTTCCCTGGTAGATGATGAAACCACCAGGTAAACCAGGGATCGAAACCCATCGATTTTTCGACCAAAACCACCAAAAAGGACACGTATGGTCGTAGGGTGCCAGGATTTGGGGTCTGAAGAAATCGGAGATCCAACTGACTGCCGCCAGATCCTGTTTTGGCAGACCAGCGGCGACTCCCTACATCCTGCCCTACAGGCCCGGCCACTCACTCACTCACTCACTCACTTCTCCATGAAACCGATGTTGCTCTCGGTGAAGTGGGTCAATTCCTCGTTTCGCAATCTGTCCTACGCTTCTTCCAGCCCCTCAGCGCCTCTGATTCCTGGGGCTCCAGCCATTGTGAACTCCCCCAAAGCTTCCAAGGCCTCGCCGTACTTGGCCTTCCACTTGTCCAAACTTTTCTGATGCGGGCCGTCCAGGTCAGCCCGGGACACGTACCTCAGGCCAGGCTGCCAAACTGCCAAACTGCCAAACTGCCCACCGGGCACGCCGAATTGGACGAATGCGCGTTGGAATTGGGCTGTTGATAGACCAGGATCCCGGCCGCTCGTAGATAATGGCCTTCTGGGGATCATCCACTGCGTCGCAGAACTCGTAAGACCTGCACCAGAGATTGAGTAGTAAACCTCAACATGGCATGAAGATCGCGCTTGCTGCACGCCCAGGTGTGCACATCGAGAAACGTCTGCCTCAAGTTTCAGCTGAGATCCCAGCAAACAGTTCGGCTCCTCTGTCAGGGCGATGCGAGCCATGTTCGACCAGATCTCTTTGAACTTCTTCTTCTGGTCCACCGACTTAAACTGCATATGACACATGGCAAGGGGTCAACACCCCGTACCCCCCAGTGAACATCCCAATCCCCACTAAAATAGGTTCTAAAATGGGTGGTGCACCCTTGGTACCATTGGTTTTGAACCATGGCCACATCTGGCAATGCTCCAAGGTCAGATGCCAGGATCTGGAGACGGACACCACGAACAAGTAGCTCAACGCTCAGCATATTGCGGACCTGCCTCCCACCAACATACTGTGGATGGAACATCCTGCACCACCTAAGAAACCCTGAAATAATAGTATGAATCCCCCGCAAATACTAACCACCAACGGTTTCAACCCTGGCTTCTCCGTCCATCCAATGCACAGCCTCGTGCTCTTTGAAGGGACACCCTTTCGGCTCCATGTTCGCGAGTCGATTCCTTGGGAAGCACCAGCCTGCGCATGGACCAAGAGCACGTGCACCGGGCTTGCCCTGGCCACCTCGGTCCGGCTTTGCAATCGGCAACGCCCGAAGCTTCCACGTACTCTACTGCAGGAAGACCCGGGAGTTTTGCTCATGGGGGCCTGATGAGCCACCCAAGCGTCATTCACGCAGCAAAGCTCTTTGAAGCCCATGCCTGGACATATGCTAAAAACAGTCACCCCTGTGAATGCTTTGAAATAAGAAGAGCAGTATGCATATATGTATGCATCTGATTTGTATGCATCATGGTTCTCAGCGGGAGCTCATGATGGTTGTCCTAGCACAAACTATTGGAGGGGCAATGAGGATCCCAATCTAGGAAACGGCATTGGAAGCCCAGCTAAGCAAGGACCAATATCTGATATTGCTTCCTACTCCTTATGGCCGCTGATGCCTTCCCCAACCCAGAGACTAAATCGCAGCCGCTGCCCCCCCCCCCCGCACTTCTGGGGCACAAAAACGAGGCAGTCCCACGGCAGTGACCGCCTCACCGAGCCGCGGAGGTTTTGCCCTTCCGCAGCTTGGAGAGCAGCAAGGCGCCCAGGCCCACGCCCACCGCCAGCCACGCCTGGTCCCGGGAGCTGTGGGGCACTGGGCAGAAGCCCGGGCACAGGGCGCCCATCGCCGATGGACCGATCGAGCGCTGGATCGAGGCGAGGGAAGGCGAAGGCCGGGAAGCTGAGGGAAGTGACGCCCAAAAGGCCACAGCCAAGGGAGGTGACGTGGATGAGTTGGGACTTTGTGACTGGTGGGTCATGGATGCTTATGGTCTTGTAAACACACTTGAGCCAAAAAATCGCCGAGAACTGGCCAGACTGCGAGCGCCGAGATCTCATCAGACTTGCAATTGGTTGGCATGCCCTCGTTCCACATGGGCGTTTCCTCCGGACCTCTCTGGCCCTCGTCCTCCTTCGGAGGAATTGGGGGGGCCAACTGGGGATCCGGGCGATGCTTGCCTTCAGCACCCAAAGCCCGGCCCCAAGCGGCTCCCGGCCCCGAGGCACCGTACCTTCCTTTGGAGGCAAGAGAACAGCAAGGCAAGACCCGCACCAGACTCCCGATTCCCTTCCCATAAAGTGGTGCCTTGGCTGGTGGGTGGACCCGCGAAAATTGCCGTCCCAGGGATGGCGCCTCAGGGCCACAAAAAAAAAACGAGGCAGGCGCCTCTCCCGGCTCACGCTACTAAAATCAAACCCGAGCACCCTTCGAAGGGCGCGCTCGGCCTAGACTCTCTCGAAAGGCCCGCCGAAATCAGGGGATCATGCCTCGGCGGCTCGGGCTGCTCTCCCTGCCTCTTGTGCAGAAAACAAGCTCCATGCGACTATTTCCGGCAATCTGGGTGTGGGTCAAAACAGACAAAATGAAACCCTGGGCAAATGGAGACAGGGACCAACACCTGCAGCCCCCTGGCGGTTGAACTTTGACCCATACCCATCCAGGTGGATCCCAAGCGCTGCCCAGGGCACAGAGCGAGCCGCAGCGGATCATGCCGCGCACGCACCTGACGAGTCCATCAGCCCACAGATGCCCAGTGGCATTTGGAAAAAAGGGCATCCTTCTTTGGTTGGTTGAGTTTCAAGGGGAACCCAAGACTCAAAAAAAGAGGCAAAAAGGGCGGAATCCACTGGAAGTGGGAGCCAATCGGCACATCGCTCACCAAAGGGCCCCGGCTTGTCTGCGCCATGACTCGGCCCGAAATTCCTGTTGCGCCGGATCTCCTGACGGAAGGGATGAGCAACCACCGAGAGACGACCTTCGCACCGTCCTGCGCGTTGGGGCCTTCAGGATGCGGAAGGGCCTTAAGCCTTGGCTTTGCCAAACAAATCCAAGAGCTGGCTAGATATCACATATCCTTCAAGCGCGTGGTCAAAACATGTGGCAAATACGGCGAGACTCAGGTGCGTCTTGTTTTTCTCCAAGGGACACTGGGCAACACCTGTCTGTGGGTCAAAATTAGGTACCCAAAATGGAACCCTGGGAAATGGAAACATGGACTAAAATCTGCGGTCCCCTGGTGGTCATTTTTGACCCAGACCCACTTGATTTGACTCCTACAGGTTGCACCGATCCCCGAATCACAAGATACACTGAGGCCGCCTCTCAATGCTCTCACGCGCCCAGGGGTACTTCTGCCTGGGATTCACAAACTGAGTGCTTACACGTGTTTGGTGTGGGGCCTTAAATCTGGTCAGGGGCCCCCCAAAAAGAGGGGCCTCCCAAAGAGCTTTGGACCCTACTGTGGATGGTTGCGAAATCCGCTTCTCACACCACTTTGAACCATTTCTTGGTTGGACCCTTTTCTTGGCCTTGTTAGTCGCTATTAGCTCCTTTTGGGATTGGAGAATCGGCCAATAATGACCCTTATAAACAATCCACTGGTGGCTTCCTTTAAGGGAATCCCCTTCCGGTTCATTCCCAACACCCGGAAGGTCATTCCCTACCTATCGCACCAGCAAGTTAAAGCTCGACACAGGGGCAGTTGACACAATTCCACTGTGCGCCATGGCCTCAGTGCGCTGATGTGGCTGACGTCGTGCCAATCCTTGGCTGAAGCAGTTGCTTAAAACATTGTTGCTACTGTGGGTGGACGAAATCCATTTCGCACCACTTTGAATCCATGGTTGAAACCATAGTTTGTTGGTATTTACAGGGAAATCATACTTCCAGGACTTCTTAGGTGGTGCAGGATTTCGTTCATCCACAGTATGTTCAACAGGTAGCCTTTTCCGCGACGGCGAGTCTCTTTTGCTGTGACGAGGCAAACACACATTGCACCACATGGTGGACATCCTTGTGTAAGGTCTTAGACACATCTAGTGTTTTTTGCATACCTTTCAAAGTGGCCTCTCCTTGACCAAAAACTGACTAAAGCCCCCGCATGAGGCACAAATGGATCCCACCAGAAGCACCACCTCCAAAGGCTGCCGAAAGGCAGTATTCCACTTCCCCTGAAAGGCTTCGCCGTACAACGACATCGGCCTGTACCTGCCAGGATCAGTTTTTGTGGGGTCAGTCGGGTGTCAATACTCGTTTCTCCGCGCAACGAGTTTTGGCACATACTGTGGATGGTTGTGAAATCCATTTCGCACCACCTAGGAACCCGTGGAATGAGTCGATTCCCATAAATATATATATATATATATATATGCAAATACCAAACAACCGTATGGCTTCGCCCATGGTTTCTAAGTGGTGCGAGAAGCGGATTTCGCCACCATGCACAGTAGCTGTCCCGAAAGTGGGCGAAGGCTCTCTCCTGCTACTTGGATGCCCAAAAGTGGGCCAAAGGATCCCTCAGATGTCAGCAAGGCCTCTCTCTCTCTCCGGGGTCATTGCATTTTTGTTCTCATAAGTTGATCAATTTACTGGCAGTTTCACTGGGAAATCGGCCACTGTCCGAGGTCACCATACCAGAAAAAGAAAAAAACAAAAGAAGAAAAAGACGAGCCCATGGCGAGTTGGCTTCCCTGGGAAATCGGCCACTTTTGGAGGTTTGTACCAATAAACAAAACGGCCCATGGCGAGGTGTCCGAGGCACTTCTTGGGCTGCAGGTAGTTCATAATGCGACTGCCCTCGCCCACGCGCCAGTCGTCCAGCGCCCGGCTCTGCGCGCAGCGGTCGAGCGGTCGAGCGGTCAAGCGGTGGGTGAGGACCCACTTCCGAGCGGTCGCAGATTGGCCAGTCGCCAAACTTTTCGGTTGACTTTGTCTGTTTAATTTTGAGCCACACCTGTATTGAAACAAGTCGGACCTTTGGCAGATTGGACCTTTTCGGTTGACCACGAAGATGCTCCAAACCCGAAAAGTTTGCTTTTAACCTGCGGGAACTCGGAAAGTGAGAGGATGGCCCGGCAATGATGACACTCTAAACCGGATCTTCGAATCACGGATTTGCTGCATGTCGGGGTTGGTCTCCATTTGGCCTCAATTCGTGGGCACCCACACACACACGCCCCAAAGCTGCACGGAAGAAGCAACAAATGGCTGTGGGTCAAAAATATGTACCCAAAATGGAACCCGATCGGTAAATAGAAACTTCAACTACCTGCGGTTTTCTGGTGGTTTAGTTTTGACCCACACCCAAATCGTTCATCGCCTTCGTCCCAGGGGTAGTCACGCTGGGCAGGAAGTTGGTCGGGGAGAAGCCATCTTCGATGCGGCATGTGTAGTGCAGCCTCGACCGCCTGCCAAAGGAGTCACAATCAAATACCAAGGAATGATGTCAAGCATTTTTTCTTGGGCATTCCCCTGCAAGTTCCAAATGAATTCCCACGGAGCCCAAGTGGTTCGAGACATGGGACATCAAAACCTGATACCAAAATGGTCGTAATCCCAGAACCATGCTTCAGGAATTAAGAAGGCGGATATCCGCAGCTATGTATGGCAAGCGGATTGTCCCTTACCAAACTTCATCTACGCGGGTTTTGATTGTGGCTGAAACCCGGAAGCCCAAGCAAATCGCGAACACCTGGAAATGTGGCGAGCAGTGTGTTACCGGCTGGACCAAGATTTGGGACCGTCTTCACAAGACCCTATTGAACACCAGAGCTAGACGGCAGACTTTTGGAGGCTCCCGTCAAAAGCAGCTTCTGGCGTTGATAACAGAGAATGCACAAAACGGCAAATGATCAACAAGGCTAGCTGAGTCTGGACATGGCCAGACGCCCGTGTTGGCTTGAAATTCGGCCAAGCCAACGGAGAGCTTCCATTGAACATCGCACGCTTGAGTCACACTCAAAACCGATAAGCATTAAAATGGTCTACCCGTCTACCCACCATGCAAAGCATTGAAAAGGCGGATTTCCGCACCCATTTCTGGCTGGGATGGTCACTTGCCCGGAAAGGTGCTTGTGACTCACTTGACCCCGCTCCCAACAAGCAGCGCCCGGCCGATTGGCCGGATCCAGCGTGGCTTTCGGCGTCAGAACCTCCGAATCAAGACCCCGGTCGCTAGCTGTGGATGGTTGCGAAATCCTCTTAGGCACCACCGTTCAGAAGCCCCAGCTGAAGCCCTGGGTTAGGATTCGATTTTCCGGTAAATACAAGCTATGGTTTCAACCATGGATTCAAAGTGGTGCGATTTCTGGATTTCGTCCACCCACAGTATCGCACCAGCAAGTTCGTCGGGGAAGCCGGCCCCTTTTTTGGTTAGCTTCAAGGGGAAGCCAAAAAGGAACCCACCCGTAACTTGGGGGTGAGACACACCCACTTCCTTTTCTTGAGGGAGAGGGTGGGGTTTCTGTCGATTTACCTTCGACGATGGATGCACAGGAAGGGGATCCCCTTAAAGGAAACCACACAACATGGAGGGATGGTGTATCTTGCTTGTGCCATAGGCAGTGAATGACAATTGCAAGGAACTTCAAGGAAAACCATCCCAACTGAGGCCCAACTGGTGGTGTCCTTTCAGAGAATCCCCCCCAAACCCGGTTCATCCCATGTCTCATTCCCTGCCTATCGCAAGCTCAAGACACCCCCATTAGCAACCCCGCTTGATCCGCGGCCTCCATGGTGCTCTTGGGGCTCAGAAGCTCCTGGCGACAGTCTAGGGGTGGATTCCGATTCCCCATTCTGTTCAACCATCGCTCTTTTCAAACACCGGATCCGTTTCCCCTGGGTTTTTGATGGCTTCCTGAAAAGATTAGGATCCCTGGAAAGAATGGAAATGGAAGCTACCCCTAGAGACATGCGACCGAAACTGCCCCCTCTGCGACTGAAAAACCAAAAACCGGGCCAACCGTTTCGTGCGCGGTGGCACGGAGAAGACCATTCGAGTCAGTCAAATGCAAACCAAAACCACAACTCGAACTTCAAAAGACTGTTCAAAAAGACCGTTTTTTCCAACACAACAGTTTTTTCTTTTTTTTTGTTTCTTTTAACCAGATGTTCACAAAACGGTCAAAGACCCAGTTAAAGGCCAAAGGTCGCCTTTCGCCTTTCGGCCGCCTTTCGCCTTTCCCCCCCCCCATGCGGCTCCCCCCCTCCAGGCGGCTCCTCGGGGGGCTGGCGGCTGTCGATCACCCGGCGCGTGGGTGTTCGGCGCATGGCCACCACCTGCAATTCTGCGACGTGAAGACGCTCCAAGTCGAGGGATGTTGGGCTTCAAAGGGCCAGGTCTTGAGACGAACCCCGAAAAAAAAATGAAAAAAACTGGGAATTCCACTGGGGTCTTGGTCTTGGAAGCCGAAGCCGATCGGAGCCTCTGGATTTGCAGAAACCGAAACCCTGCTCCAATTCGTCCGGGCTCCCGTCCCCAACCAGCGTGTCGACCGTTTCGGCGGCCCCCGGCATCCGAGGCGGAGAACGACCGGCTCCAGAAGCCCACGCTGCCCACGTGGTGCTCCTCTCAATCCGTACTTGCTGCTGCGGTAGGTAGGGGGGTTGGCCGCATCCAGGTGTGTTGGGGATTGCCTTGAAGGAAACCATAGGGGATGGTTTGGGGCCATTCCTTCATTCCCTGGTGAGAACCAGCAAGATATTGGGTGGCTCGTCTGTTTTGTTTAGGAATCGGACCCCCTTCGGTGTTCCTTTTGGATTTCCTTCAAAACCCACCATTTTGAGAGTCCTGTATGGACGTTAACATGGCTCAAATTTAGGAACCGGGACTGTGGAGAGACCCAGCAAGGATGCGCCTCCAAAACAAAGCCAACTGTCAGACCGTGTTAAGACCAAGGCATGCTAGGCGCCAAGATTTACAAGACTGAGCCATTAGTGTGCTTTCAGTGCAAGGAACGGACCACCAGGCATATGAATGTCGTCTCCTTGAGCACTGTGCTTCTTCCGTCCGGAATTTGCCCATTCACCTCACGGAACAAGTCCTGGTCCACGGACTGGCGCGGATGGTTCTGCAGGAATGATGCGGTGGCGGCCATGGCCGCAGACGGAGACGTGCAGACTTCTCGCCCTCTGGATCCCCGGTTCCGAGTTCCAAGGGCCACGTGAACACAGGTGGGGGGTGGGCGGTGGGCCTTGGATCTGCACAGTATTCAGTTTTTGGAACAGCCTCCCATTGGGACCTAAAGCGCGGCGGCTTGAGGCGAGAAAGCACCGGCGAGGCTGCTTGAGATATGAAACGCTCAGAGCGCTAGCGCTGATCAGCTCCGACTTTTCACTCCCACGGATCCACGCCCAGGTCAGAGCCGAAGAGAAAGGCCTGCAGCCTCGCAAACCCCACTGGAGTGAATGAAGGGGGGACCCAGAAAATGATGTTGTTCTCCTTCTGGTCTTTCTTTTTTAAACCGCCAGAAAGGGGAGTACGGTCACAAAAGACGAGCCATTTTTTTAGGGGGGCCAGAAAATGATGTTGTTCTCCTTCTGGTCGTTCTTTTTTTAAACCGCCAGAAAGGGGGACCTCACCGTCCTAAGAGGAGCGAGCCGCCCATGTCAGCTGGATCGACTCCATGGCGCGCTGGGCGCCGGGCAGCGGGATGGCCTTGACACCTGGGCTCCAGCGGCTCCCCCGGGACTCCCCCGCCGCCCGGCCCCTTGGCCCCCCGAAACATCGAGCGGCAGGAGACGTCCGCGAAGAGGAGCTGCACCTCCTCCAGTGAACGATGGCAAGGGCTTCAAGAAACACATGTGGCCATGGGTCAAAAGCCCGGTTACCCCCGGTGAATATCTCAATCCCCACCAAAAAGACTAAAATGGGTGGTGCACCTACCCCAAAATGGGATCCCATGGTGTTGACTCACGGCCATGTCTGAGAGAAGAGGAGCCGTGGCAACCAGGCCAGTTCCACCCATGACCTTTGGTTGCCCAAAAAGGACTACTAACTCGATAAGAGTCTCTTTTCGGAGACAAAGCTTAAGATGGGTTTGTGCCTACTCCAAAAAGATGGCTTTGGTTTTTCCTGGAAGCCAAATTGGAAAGCCTTCCCTCACAAAGAGCCCATCGTACAGGTGTGTCTCAAAGTGAAAGTCGGGAAGCCCCAAAATGCCTTGTTTCCGTCCAAGGGGTCCTTGAGACGCCCCTATGCCTCTCTCACTTGCCGAAGGGGCCTGGAAATGAAAGCTGAACCCTTTGGAGCCTTGGCACATCCACCAAGCAGCGAACAGCTGGCTGTTTCGCAGGGCACGAGACATGGAACGGCCACCTATGGTTTCCGAGCAAATCCCCAGAACCACCTTCCTTCCCGCCCATTAGCTCATTCCCCCCATTCGCCAGGCTTCGGCTTCGGATGCTCGCGTCCTCCTGGCGCCGGGCCGCCAGCACCAGCCTGGCGCGCAGTGCGAAGACGGCGGCCGCCAGCACGGGCACCAGCTCCACCGAGTCGAACCTCGGGCGCGCGCTTCCGAGGCGCGCGAGGCCCCGGGCGGCGAGATAAAAACCGCCGGGCTCTTCGAGGGTCGGTGTAGGCCCCCATGGCTTCCCCAAAGACCTGGGGAACCCTGGCTTCACCATGGTGTACCATGTGAGGTTGATTCACTGGCAGCTTTTGCGGGCAGAACTAAACGCAGCTCGCACCCTGCGGCTTTCTAGCGAAATGGGGGAGCTTGCAGGCTTCATGAACCTCCTGTGACTTCCGCGGAGGTCGCTGGCGTGCAGGATGCACGAGATCGGCGTTCCAGGAAGTCCGCGAACAGATGTGCTGGGACGTGCTGGGACTTGGACCGAGGACGGCGACTTCTTGGGCGACTTCCCTGCTACGTTTCGATGGGCGATCTTTGCTTTTCGACGTAACCCGGGACGAGACGCGCGGCTCGCCTCACCGCCCACATGTGCTCCGGCAGAAGGGCGACGTGGCAAGCGCTTCCCGGCCCAAACCCCCGGGAGCCGCGCCCGAGCACTCGATCCCAGAGATGAAGAATCTGCTCGGCAGGAAGGCCTCGGCCACAGCAAGAATCAGTTTCCCACCAGTTGGTGGTTTGGAGGCGAACCGGTGGTTTGGTGGTTGCCCTCCAATTTACACGGAACCTGAAAGGGAGGTCCTGGAAGACCATTGTCTTTTTGGAGGGACCCCTTGTTAGGTTCCATATCCAAACCACCAACTGAACCTGAAAGACATGGGCTCCCGGCCAAAACGTCGGGAGCAATGAGTACCCTGAAATGTCTAAACCCGGCGACTGGTCAGCTGCCATCTCGAGATCTTGGGATTGGAGTCTTCAGCCACGCATCAAACTGCTCCGTTTGCCACTAACAACCGGATTGCCAAGCTGTCATCTTCCAGAAACAATCCTGAAGTCTGTTGAACAAGGCGGCAGGGCCCTACTTGGCCGGTTCCCCCACAAGAAAGCCTCCTAAAATGAGTTAATACTGTTGCAGGCAGGTTGTGACCTAGATGATTAATCACTAATCTACTAATCACCTGCTAACGTACAGAAAGCCAAACCCTCCTGGGCTCTGATCCATCTCTTTCGGCGCACTCAGGACGAGACATCCCACGAAGCCGGTGACAATCCAGTGAAACGCGTAGCCTGGCTGAGCGCCCAGCCACCCAGACATGAGAGCTTGGGCGTCAATGAGGGGCAATGTGGATAGGCCCCACTGTCCTGCCCAAACCCGAAATATTATTTGCTGCTCAGTGCAACATCGAAGATCTCTCCAACTTGGACTCTACCAACTGTGAACCTTCCTCTCCCTCCAAGAGCCTGCCACAAAGGGCTCCACCAATTTGGGAAAAGCCTGTGCTGCTGCTTCAAGAATCTATACACGATTGCGTGGTCATTTTGGAACAATATGGCTAATGGGGCCGAAAACCAACGCTGTCAAACGGACAGTCACAAGCAACTCACAAGTTCAGTCATGCTTGTGAAGCAGCAAAACAATGATAAACGTCGCGTGGTTTCGTGCAACTCGGGCAGCGTTGTGGGCTTCGTCATTTGCACCGAGCAGCGCAAGGGTGACGTGTCCAGCGCCAACCTTGCACGAAGCAATTCGAAGCAATGGACAACGCAGGCAGTTCATGAATTTCATCCGGCTGTCAAAAACGATTAGGGTTCCGGTTTGGTCTTGAGCGTAAACCAACACGAAACCAATGACAAAAGTTGAGCCGCGTTGCCCTACGAAGGAAACCAACGAGAAACCACAACGTACTCCTCCAAACTTGGGGCAACAACCTGCTTGGGCATCCTTTGGGTTTTCCCGACCAAACCAGACCCCACCTCCAAAATGCGCGTCCAGCGCGCACGCGCGCTCAACCGGCCCACCGGGCGCCGGGCAGGTGCTGCACCGCCCGCGGCGCCGCCTGCGCCGTCAGCTGCTCAAAGAGCCCGCAGAGCGTCACCAGCCTCGGCGCCCGCCGACTCGGCGCTCGGCGGGCGCAGTCCGCGGGCGCAGCTGGCGGTCGCTTCGCGGTCGCTTCGCGCTCGGCGTTCGCCGTTGGGTCATAGCCGGATTTTGCACAGGTCCGGAAATATGAACCCATGGCCATGTTGGACCCAGGGCTCCCAGAAAGCCATAGCTGACGAGTAACGCATACATTCAGCCTTACATGGGGATCAACAACTTGTACTGTTCAACCACGGAAATCGAAGTTCAGAAAGCTCACCTTTTGTGGCCACAGCTAAAACTGGTTGCCAAGAAGGGGGATTTCCGAGGCTTGGATCCCGGGTCTGATTCGCGCCTGAGTCACTATCGTAATCAAAGCCGAGCGGTGTTAAAATGGACTGCCCACCATGTAAAGAACTAACAAGGCAACATTCCACACCCGTCTATGGCAAGGGGATTATCCCTTACTCACCTTCGTCTACCCGGGGTTCGATTGTGGCGTACATGGGGATCACCAACTGTTGCAACCACAAACGGTGCGGTTCGGACAATTGTTGGTGCCATCCTAAGTGTGCCTTCCTTCAAAGAGCAGCCAAAGGGGAACGCCATTTTGAGGGTTCCATTTGGAGTTTGAAAGTATCGTTGCATTCCCCTTGGAAACAACCTAAATGAGTACCCAACCTCAACAGACGACAGAGCCAAACGGGCGTGTCTTTATTGCGGGTACCCTTTTCCGAGTCAAAGAAAAATCAAGTTCGCACCTAGTGGGAGCGAATCCCGTCAAGCCGGCCAATGAATGACGGTCAGATACTACCACGGGCCCAAAGAGGAAAGGAAGCCGGAGAGCATGAGCCACATGCCATTGAGCCTGAGCTCAAAGATGGCAGTGACCCGAGCTCTGGCAAACTTGGCTTCAGTTCGCGGAAGGCTTGAGCCCTGCGGAGCTACCGATTTTCCCCGATCGGGTGACTTGGCGACTTCTCGCACACCTTTTGGTGGTGCGGCTGCACATGCTAACCCCAGATGAATAAACCCCTGGTTGATTTTGATTGGGGGGTGTCCCCTTTTTTAGTGGGGATTCAGACCACTTTTGGAGGGAGCACCCCCCTAGTAATGGGGCGGGTTCATTGATCCTGGGTCAACATTATGCTGCTATGGCACAGCTCCAAAGACTGGATGCCACACGCAAATTTTTCAGTGGCTTGTGGCTGTCGACTCACAAGCTCTCACCGAAAAAGACAACGCCGAGCTCATAAAAGCTGTGCAATGATGTAAAACAGGCTTGAAGAAGCCGAATGTAGAATTCATCTATATAGCACCTACCTGGGGAACCAACCACCTGTTGCAGGAACAAGCGCAAGTTGTAGGTTTTGGAACCAGTATTTAGACAACATAAACCTCGCATCGGAACTGTGCAAAACCAAAAAGTCCGGTACGAACTGTGGCTTTCAAAACAAAAGGCAAGGCGAATTCCAGCTCCTGCTTCTTTGCTCCATAGGCGCTCGGTTTCGCAGGTAAACGTCATGCTGTGCAGCATGCATGACAAAAGCCAAAAGCTGTTTGTCGCCCGCGCTCGCCGAAGCGAGGCCCGGCCGCTGGCACCAGCGAGATGCTATATGCATAGCTTGAAGTCAGCACTCTGGAGTGCACCTTTCTCACCCTGCTCAGAGAGTCCTGCAGAAACCTGACAGGATGAGGCGGTCCCCCATGGGTTCCATGGTGGTAAAAGGACAAATCCGAATGCCGAAGCACAGAAATCACACGAATGAGCTGCAGCGTTTGTTGGATTTCATGAAGCTACTGTGGATGGACGAAATCCTGCACAACCGTTCAGAGCCCCTGAAATGATGATTCCACTGTCAATACCAACCACCGTTATGGTTTCTCAGGGTTTCCAAGTGGTGCGAAATGGAATTCGTCCATCCACAGTATGTCCAATGGGAGTCCCTTCGAAGCTCCTGAAATACCAAGCGAAGGCCTGGATCATTACTGGCCAAGCAGTCTGTGGCAAAACCCAAGATGCGGGGGGGTTCCTTTGGTTTCCCGTTAAACCCATCCAAAAAGGGGATTAAACAAAACGACACACCCTTTTTCAATTTTAACACGCTCGCCTTGCGCGAAGATACCACAAAAAACACACACACACAGCCTGGTACAAATTGTCAACAGCTCGCCTTACGCGAAAGGCACTGCCCAAGCTTCTCGGGCAGCGGCTGCATGGGGGAGAAGGGCTTCGCCGTGCCACTTTTGGAGCCCCGCGAGGTCCGCGACCGCCTCTTCCGCATCTTCCCGCGCGCCCCTTGCAGGGTGGCGCGGCACATCCTGGGCTTGAAAACACATGTGGCTCAAAAATGGGAGTCCAAAATGGAACCCTGGTAAATAGAAAGGTAGACCAAAACCTTCGTTTCCCCAGCAGATTAATTTTGAGCCACACCCACATGGGTGTGGGTCCATATTAAACAACTGGGGTTACGCAGGTTTTAGTCTTTGGTTCCATTTGCCAAGGTTCCATTTTGGGACATTGTTTTGACTCACAGCCACGGTCAAAACCCTGTACCCCTGGTGACCATCAAAATAGGTGGAAATCAAATGGATGTTCATCCACCCCAAAATGGGATCGCCTTAGGTTATGCAACCCATGGCCACATGGGGATTTCATTTGAAGGGTTCTCGCTCAACGGGGACTCCTCGACAGGGAAAACTCCCAATACAAAAAACGGGATGGATGGCCAGGGCTCACTGAGTTGTCCTGCGTTTGCAGCTCGAACTTCCACGCAGTCCCCACAGTCCCGCGCGAAGATCTGCTCTTGAAGCGCAGATCGAAGCTCACCCGCTGGGTACTTGCCATGCAGCTGCGGACCTTGTCCATGAACCTCAGCCGATGGCCGCAGGTCCCTTTGAGGGTGTCAGGTCTATATAACCGCACTGTGGATGCACGAAATCCGTTTCTTGGACACCGTTCAGAAACCCTGGCGTGATGACTTCCCCTAAGTAGATACCAACCAACAAGAGACCTCCATAGCTTCCCAGCCACAGTACCCAACCCGGTTGGCTAAGGCAATCTCAAGTAAGCATGAATCAAATTATACTACCAGCATGTGGACCGCAGATGCTAGTCCATATTTCCATATACCCGGGCTCCATTTTGGGTACCTATTTTTTTGACCAGCCAAATCGCCTAATTACATTGGCCTAATGACATCTTCAGTCGAGCAGCTCAGACATGAAGAACTCTCGGTCGCTGGCGTCAATCAGCTCCAAAAACGACATGGAGGCTGAAGCGGCCTCCCAAAACTCGTCATCGGTTTCTTTCTGGCCGGCCGAATCCTCTACATGCTTAATTACTTTGTCCTGCACGAACAATAGCAGAGTTCTCAGGGAATGAGAATTGTCAGAATTGGCATGACCCCAAGAAAAGAAAGGCCATCCCCAAAGGTGTCCTACTAGGAATCCCCAAAACCGGTTCATGCTCACCACCCCCCGGAAACTCGCTATGTCATGCCCTATCGCCCATTCTCTTAAACCATCGTTCCTTCCAAAAACCGGATCCGTTTTCCCGGGGTTCCCAGCTGATCTACCAGGTCCCCTCCAGCCATGTTTGTGGGAGAATTCTTTGTGGCTATTTGCGGGAGCCCTCTTTCTCCAGTATGTGTGCTGAAGATGGGTCAACCCCCCAAAACTCGGCTCGTTCGGCCCCCGCGCCCTGGCGCCCATGCCCAAAAAGTCCAAGAGCTGCCGGGAGGAGTTCAAGACCTCCAGGTCCATGGCGTCGAACAAGGCGTAGGCGCCCTCCTCAGCCTCGGCAAAAGGAGGATAGGTAGCGCGGTTTTTCGGTCGGACCCCTAAAAAACTCGGGGTGTCCTTCTGCATGGCCATTCTTTATCACCACCAAAAAAGGGGCAGCCTCTGAAAAAAAAAAAAAAACGAAAAAGCGCTGGGTGTCCCTTTGGATTGCCATTTTTTATCACCACCAAAAAAGAGGCAGCCTCTAAAAAACCCCGAAAAAGCGCTGGCTGTCCCTTTGGATTGCTTTTTTTTTATCACCACCAAACAAGGGGCAGCCTCTAAAAAACCCCGAAAAAGCGCTGGCTGTCCTTTTGGATTGCCATTTTGTATCACCACCAAAAAAGGGGTAGCCTCAAACAAAGACACAATCATATGAAGTGTCGGAGCCGTCGAACCCATCTATTTGCAACCACACCGATCACAAGGACACCTATGAGGAGGACTTCCATGTGCCTGCTTTCCCCTGGAGAAAGGTGAGCAGAGAGAGTTTCAGTGCGTTTTCGATTCCCTTTAAAACCACTTGGAGGTTCCCACCCTTGGCTTTTTAGATCTGGTTAGTTGGTTGGTTTAATGGTTGAGTTTCCGAAGTTAAACCAGTTACACCAGCGTAGACTCAGACCCGGATAGCGAAAAGCCATCCAACGATTGCAAGCCAGCACCTCTAAAAGAACTGCCTGAAGAGCACCACGTCAAACAGCATCCCAAAACAGCACCTGCCGCACCAACACCAGCACCTCAAAAAAGCACCCAAAACAGCACCTGCAGAAGAATGCCCAAACTGCATGCCCCCTAGCACCCTACCGTCAATCTGCAAAAGAGCGCCCGCACCGTCACCCGCATGCCCCCTAGCATGCTGCCTTCAATCTTAAAAAATGCGCCAGCACCATCAGCAGATGAAAGGGAAACCAAATACTGGCCCCATTACCTTACCACCATCAAAGTCACCCCCAAGTGGTGGGGAAAAGGGAAACCACCCCAATCTCTGACTTTGACAACACCTAGAAACACTTAACACAATGACCCCAGAAATAATAATAATAATAAGCAAAACCACCTTTTATCAGCAATTGGAGGAGGACCCAGATCCCCCCCCCCCCAGATCCGGATCTCCCGCCTCGCTCCCGGAGCTGGAGCTGGGCTCCACCGTCACCTCGCGCTCCTCCGGGCGCACGAAGAAGGTGTCGTCCCGGTAGTCCCGGATGCCCACCAGGTGCTTCGCCTGCCCGTCCTGGCC